AGACCAAGATGAACTTTTCTCTAGTCTTGTCTATTCAAGACGAGACGAGGCAATAACTTTCAAGACCACGACAAGATTCAAGACTCGAAAATTATCGTTAAATACAGTGAACGATTAGAAAAATACGCACGGAAAAAATTTTTACTGTGGGGAACAGCTAATTTCAAAAATAAATAACATAAAGAATCTATTCAACTAATTCAGTGAATGATTTCCAATGTAGTAGTCAAACTGTTTCTCTGATATAGAGAAAATGAATTTCACTGGTCATCCATATTGGAAATATTTGACAGTTTACTTAATTCAGGTTTAGAGAGTAGAGAAATTTCTATGAGAATGGTAATTTACCATTCTCATAGAAATTTCTCTACTCTCTAAATCTGAATTAGTGCGGATTCGTTTACCAATTTGAATTAGTAACATTTTTTACTAATTTTTAGTAGTTTTTTACTAATTGCTACACGGAGAAAAATGGTGCTGAGTTTCTAGTAAAAGTTCCTATGGAATAGTAATAATTCTACTTTTATATTAAAAATTACTATTCATAGTAAAATATACTTCGCATGAAGTAAAAATTACTATTTCTGGTAGTAAAAATTACAAATAGTAATTATTACAGTAGTCACGTTTAAAAATTGCTTTAAGAATTTTAATTTTTACATCGTCATTATAAATTTTATTAAATTTTGTATTACTTTTTACATTCGATATGTTGTAAATATTACTGGTAGAAATTCTAATAATTAATACTGCGGAAAATAAAGATTGCTTCTGCAAGAAGCAACTTTTACTATTGCAGAACAAACTTTTTACTCGTAAAAGTAGTAATCCGTACCACTACTGTTACACACCTATGTGTGTGATCACGTCACTACTGTCATGCGCAGCGACCGTAACCTGACGTCAAAGTGATCCAACATTTCTAGGTTACAAGAAGCACGTGTAGCACGGTTCAGTTATTTGGACAATTTTGTTTATATCAGTGGTGCGATCATTAATTCCTATATGCATTTTAATTATTTATCAATTTCCAAAGTATGCAATTCATGTATAATCACTTAATAATTAGTTAATTAATTTTTAATGAATTACTAATTAATTAATAAAAAATATATAAATAAATAAAATCATTAACATTATAATCTAATAATTTAATAATTAAAATAAGTAATTTTAAATTAATAATACTGTTTATTATTATTATTATTATTATTATTATTATAAATGTTTATATTTTAATGCAGTAACTTATCTAAATAAATATAATTTATGATTCACTTTATCGAAAAGAGATATATGCGGGTAACATGAAATTTTCTCCATAGCGATTGCGTAGCCGAGAGGCTTAGTATAAATGCGTGCGATTTTAGGTTGCGTTAGATATAAGTTAGGTAGGGTTCGAAACTGTATAGATGTTAAGATTTTCCGATATGTTAAGTTGTTAATTGTAAGTAAGAATGTGAAAAAAAGTAAAACTTATGAATAATGAATAATAATACACATGCAGAGTGTTAATTACTTGAAAAAATATTTTTTGAACGCACTGATTATTTTATTTTAATTTATTAAAATAAAACGAGACAATATAGCTCTCTACACCAGCATTTTTTTTTCGTCACGGCGTGGACAGACGCGCAGGCGCGCCGGCATTCGTTTCGCCCGTCGTTGTGAGGCGCGTCATTGTGTGGGTACGGATTACTACTTTTACGAGTAAAAATCTTTACCGAAATAGTAATAATTGCTCTGATTCGTAATAAAAGTTGCTTCGCTCAGAGTATTAATTGCTCGGGACATTTTAAATATTACTCGGCTTTTAATAAAATTTAGATTCCTTGAAGTAAATTATGCTTTTTCAAAAAAGTAAAAATCGTTTGAATACGAAGCAAAAGTTACTATTTTTCGAGCAGTTTCAAAATTACTACTTAAAAGTAGTAATTTTTCATTGAAAATAGTATAATTATTACTATTTATTTTTCTCCGTGTAGTAGAAAATTACTAATTCAATTAGTAGAACCCCAGTGGGAAATTTGCAACCGGCGCGGATCCTCGCCTGTACCGACGCCGGAGTAGTGGTACTGGCTGGGAACCGCCTGCCTACCGCCCGAGAACTGGTATTCTACCAAAAGATGACTTGGCCAGGAGCTGGCTGGCCATCCGTCTCGGAACTGGCATTCTGATTCTACCGCCCGATAACCGGCCGCGAAGAGCCGTTCCGTGTATAATTCAACCGGCTGGGACCCGGCACTGTACCGACTGCGGATCTTTCATTTCCTAGCCAGATGTGCGCTGGCAATGCTGGCATTCTACCGCCTGACAACCGGCTCGGATCAAAATGATAATTTCAACAAATATCAATAAAAAAATAATAATTAATTGCAAAAGATAAATACTGATAACAATTTATTGATAGTTCACTTTACACATTTTTTTATACACTTAACGGTATTTTTTTATATTCACATTTGAAAAATCCTAACGCTTGGGGGTACGAACCTACGCCTAACCGAATATTTACGCACCGAAATCTCGCACGCTAACCACTATGCTACGCTCGCATGGAACTCTCAAACCTTAAATGCTTTCAAGTCTCACTAGCTGAAATAAAAATTGTAAAATTACTACGCGGCAATAGGCAATTTGGAATACGAACTGATGTAATACCGGTATATTTTCAATACTTTACTGAATGTGTATTTATGAATATTTCAATATTTCGTTTAAAAAAAAATGTTATATTTTTATTATTATGTTTTTTAATATTTTATTACATAATATATCGAATAATATGAACATAACTTCAATGCAAAACAATTTATAACATATAAGTAATAGTATTAAATTGAATAAAATTTTAATGCACAACACATTTTTTAAATTATTTAATTTGCAGAAAAGTGTCAATAAATAATTACTTAATATATTGTTTAAATTAAAAAGAGATTATTAATTAATTAATAATAATCTCTTTTTTATATATTGTATTTAATATGTTATTTATTGTAGGCATTATAATATATTGATCACATTTTCTTTCAAGTTAAATATATTTTACTTCTTTCAAATTAATATATTATTTATTAAAAATTATTTATTTAATTGCACATTAATAAAGTTGGATTTTTATATATATAATGAAAAAATTAAGTTTCTTATATTCTTCCTTTGCATGAATACTATTAATTTATTTATTGGTTAACTAATAATAATATTATAATAAATGCAATTAGTTATTGTAATAATTAATTATAATAATAAAATAAATTTATGATTATACTGATAATGTAAACTATAACAATAAATGACGAGATCCGCAGTCGGATCCGCCCCAGCACCGAGCCAGTACAGACCTAACATCCGTCATTCTTCCGACATAAAATTCAGAGTAATTTCATAAAATATAGATGTAATATTACTTTATTTTATGCTATAACAACTTATTCAAGTGTTATTTTTCCGTATTTTTCAAATTGTACATTATATTTAACGATAATTTTCGAGTCTTGAATCTTGTCTTGGTCTTGTCTTGTCAGACAAGACTAGAAAAAGGTTCATCTTGGTCTTGGTCTTGACGATGATTGTCTCGTCTCGTCTCGAAAAGTTCGAGTCTTGCGGCATCACTGCATCAGAGTTGCAACTTATATTAAATTTACATGAGAAACTAAACAAAAAATTCAATTAATTTTAAATAAAAAATTAAATTAAACAACATATAATTAAGTAAAACGGACATACTAAATGTAAAGGAAAAAGCAACGAAGTCTACGTGACGATAGAATGGGGCCATTCAAGTATTACGTAAGCATATTTTTCAGGTTTTTAGACCCCCCTCCCCCATGTAAGATTTTTTATATGCATTAGCGCCATTTTTTCTCAATCAAACCACATTACTTTTTAATGTGTTTTTCGTTTTTACTTATCTTTGTTTAATTTTAAAGTAAATTACTTAATAAATTAATAGCTCAGAATAAAAATTAAAGATAATATTTAATTACTCTTGCATAGATTTCGTGTTTATAAAAGGTATTGAAATAAATAGTTTGAATAGTTTTCGTTGTTAGATTTTGTCAAGTAACAACGAAAATATAAATATATTGCACTAAAATAATTGTAACTATCTATACTTAATTTTATATATTTCAAACAATTGTTTTAAGTTATTGAAATGCTCCACGGTGAACAGAAAAATTTTAACGGGTAAGATATTTATTTGAATTGAGGAAAATAAAAATTCTCAATTAAATTATTATTTACTAGTAAATTCCCCCTCGGTCTCAAGTTTGCTGCAAACCTACAGTACAAACTTGTGCTAAGTGGGTATATCCTTGAATTGTTTACAATATGCATTTTTTTTATTTTAACACTTGAAAATTTCAAAATGAATAAATTATACGGGCATAAATACGGATTTGATGTATTTACAGTTTCGTTAAACAAATAATTGTTGTTAATGATTAATAACTCTTGACATAAACTACATAGAAACTTGCAGTTTTTTTAATTTTGCAAGTAACTAATACGAACTGCATAAAATAAAGATAATTTATGGTTTTAACAATTCAGAAATTGTTGAAACAAATATTTGTTGTTAATTACTGACTCAAATATTAATTGAAAAGAATTTATGTTCTTCTTTCATAATAAAAAACCTTACATTGCGTTTAACTTAAAAAAACATCTCATAAAGTATAGAATACACAATATGCAGTTACGTTAGACAATAAAAAAAATATAAATAAAACCATGACAATAGATACCTTCTGAAATCTACTACAGCAAACATTTATGACTGTTGTTTTGAATAATATTTGACAAATGTCAAATTTTTCCACTTTACTTTTTTAATGTGTTTTTCATTTTTAATTATCACTGCTTCATTACAAAATAAGTTACTTAATAAATTAATGACTCAGAATAAACATTGTAGATAATATTTAATTAACCTGAATATTACACATGAATAGATTTTTTATATATAAGGTATTGAAAGAAATAGTTCGAGTACCATTTCGTGTTTATAGTTTCACAAGTAAGAACTACACGGAGAAAAATAGTTAGCTATTTAAGCTAATTTTTAGCTACCTTAGCTAACCTTAATTGCTATTATATGGATAGCAATTATTGTTAGCTAATGCAGCTAATAATTAGCTAAAATAGCTAACTTTTTTTGCTAAAACAGCTAATTATTAGCTGTAATAGCTAAAAATTCGCTATCCATATAATAGCAAACTCATTTTTCTCCGTGTAGAATATCAATATATTGCACTAAAAAATTGTAACTATCTACACTTAAAGAACATATTTCACATTTTTTGTTGTTGAAATTATTAAAATGCTGAACAGTGAACTGAAAAATCTGGATAGGTAAGTTATTTATTAAAATTGAGTAAAATATTTATTTCATCGTTATAGTAATAAAGTTACAAGAATTAAAAAATAGAAAAAAATTTATTTGATTAAAATAACCGATTACTTGACTTATTATCAAATAAATATTTACACTTGAAACAAATTCTTTTGTACATGAAGTAAATAAATTGTACTTGAACCAATAAATCCATATATTGAAATAAACAATTATTTGACTCTGAGTAAATATTTATTTGATAAGACAAGTATAATCGGTTATTTGAATCAATTGCATTTTTTTCATGTACCTAGTAATAAATGACAAAGTGACTAAAAAATAAAAGTAAAAAATCTTTTTCAATTAAAGGCATTTGAACCATTATGACGTCATGGTTCTAGAAAACATGCTTTGCTCAAGTTGTGAAGTCATGACGGTTCAAATACCCTTAACAGTCATAATCATTCAAAAAATAAAAACTCATATTTTAAAAAGATGGAGGAAACAAGTAGCGCTAAAGCTGGGACTAACAATGATGATGTGCCTGGCAAGCACCGTAAATTTATCAGCAGCACAAAATTCTACTTCCCAAATAAGTAAGTGTTTTTTCTCAAAGACGAAATTTAATTTTATGCTTTGAACATATTTTTTAAGTTGTAGAAGATATATTTTTAGAAGATTATATTGTATACTTAATACTAAATGTCACCATATTATTGTTTCAGATTCTAATAATTTGTTTCCACATCCATTAGTAAATTCTGTTAATGAAATGAAAGTTGGAGTTTCGAAAACATTAAAAGATGAAACCGATTATTGTTCTGAACCAGAATGTGTTCATACAGGTTTGTATATGTGGCACATGATCACTAAATAACATTATGTTTTAATGATCCCTAAGAACTACTAGGATTTTATTTTTAAAAAAATTATAGATAACATCATTTCTTTATAGCATCAAGAGTGTTGAAGTACTTGGATACAAGCACAGATCCCTGTGACAATTTTTATAAATTCGCCTGTGGTCAATACATCCAAAGTCAAATAAATTTTGGTCCCAGATTTCACATGAAATCTGATATACTTGCTACTTCTTCTAAAATTCAGGAACAAATTAAACTTATTCTAAAGCAAGAAGTAAAACCTACGGAACCTAAACATGAAAAAGTAATGAAGACTCTTTATCAAAATTGTATTAATACAGGTTAGTAACATATGCTTCATTTTCTATTTATATTAACTATTGAAACGTCATATAATTTTCCGGGCACAAAATCCAGAGACAAAATATAGTTTATAAAAGGAAAGCATCTAACAAATGGATTTCTTTCACCGTTTCACGGAATATAGTTTGATTAGGAAGAAATTATAATAACTTATTACTTATTTACTATCATACACTCGTCTTATTGTTTTATTATAAAATTACAATTTTCTTTAAATATTAAAAATAATTTTATCATTATCGATTTCTAATATGTTTATTTCTAGAAATTAAAAACGATAAGGAAATTTTAAAACTCGTTGTGGATTCTATAACAAAAGTTGATGGATGGCGCTACTTAGAGAATAATTCTTTGGAAGACACGAGTTTTCAATGGGAAGACTTTGATTCCAAATTAGAAAAAGAGCTTGATATATATGAAACACCTTTCTTTAAAGTGCATGTTGGAGAGGATAACATAAAAAATTCAAATTACTTTTTTCATGTACGTGGAGAAAATAAGTTGTGAAATGTAAACAAACCAAAACAAACCAAACACAAAAATCCCACTTTTGTAACAGCTATTTCTTTTACAAAAAATAACATTTTTACACTTTCTCTACAAAAATGGAAAATTAGAGTTTCAAAGAGTCCAATAAAATCATTTTTGGCTATGAGCAATAAAAAGCAATTAGTGAAATAACTAATTAAAATGACCAGTAAAATAGCATTTTTGACGCGTCGCGAAAAATAAACTGTTTCAGTATATCAACCGCACGGATGATGAAGAAGTTCCATGTCAGCGATTGGACCTTCAACATGTGGAAGGGTAAATTTTTCCCTTTCTTCCTTGAAATTACAAGAGAAAGGGTAAAAACTTCTTCATCGTCCGTGCGGTTCATATAGTCAAACACTTTATTTTTTCGCGACCTGAGACTTCGTTGCTCTCTGCGCAAGCGCAGAGCGTACTAAGAATGCATTGACAACACCATGTGGAAGTGCACATTTTCTTTTGAATGAAACTTAGTTGTTTTCTCATTTTTTCAGCTATGCAAGGCGTAGTAACCAAATAGAATACGTCAGTTCACCATTTTCATAAAGAAAATGTGAATTTATATTTATGTACGAAAATGAGACCTCGTGCAAAAATGCTTCAAAATAGCGCATAGTGAAGCATTTTTGCCCGAGGTCTCATTTTCGTAAATAAATACAAATTCACATTTTCTTTATGAAAATGGTGAACTGACGTACTCTATTTAGTAACTACGCCTTGCACAGGTGAAAAAAATGAGAAAACAACTAAGTTTCATTCAAAAGAAAACGTGCACTTCCACATGGTGCTGTCAATGCATTCTTAGTACGCTCTGCGCTTGCGCAGAGAGCAACGAAGTCTTAGGTCGCGAAAAAATAAAGTGTTTGACTATATGAACCGCACGGACGATGAAGAAGTTTTTACCCTTTCTCTTGTAATTTCAAGGAAGAAAGGGAAAAATTTACCCTTCCACATGTTGAAGGTCCAATCGCTGACATGGAACTTCTTCATCATCCGTGCGGTTGATATACTGAAACAGTTTATTTTTCGCGACGCGTCAAAAATGCTATTTTACTGGTCATTTTAATTAGTTATTTCACTAATTGCTTTTTATTGCTCATAGCCAAAAATGATTTTATTGGACTCTTTGAAACTCTAATTTTCCATTTTTGTAGAGAAAGTGTAAAAATGTTATTTTTTGTAAAAGAAATAGCTGTTACAAAAGTGGGATTTTTGTGTTTGGTTTGTTTACCTTTTGGTTTGTTTACATTTCACACCTTGGACTTACCCTTAAATGAAATCTTCTGTTTTAATAATAATTTGGTGATAATAATTTTTGTTAGATTCATGAACCATCGAATCTTGAAGCGGTTTCTAATCATTTAATTACACTTGGAAATATTTTTAATGAATGTAACCAATATGGAATATCAAATGAAAATGTGTTGAATGCAATCGAAAAAATAAACAAAATGCTTATTGACGTAAGTATTAGATGAAATTTTTTAATCGAATGTGGAAGTTTTTTTAAAAGTTTTTGACTTTTTAATCATACTTTTGTAGAATCGTTACTTACAGCTTACCTGAAGCTAATGAAAAGTCCTTTGTCGATTCTGAACTTGTTAGAATAGGAATAGGATTCTTTGAATTCTTTTTTTTACAGATACTTGAACCAGAAAACTATGGAAAATTGTACAACTTTGATAGAATGACTATTAAAGAGCTTGAAAATAATTATTCCAATATTATGTGGAAGAAACTTTTTAATACAAGGCTACATCCATTCAACGAAGTTAGAGATGATGATATTGTAGTAATATCGGATATCAGCTTCTTCAAAAAATTTAACGAACTTATTAATAGTGTTTCAAAAAATGACCAGGCAATTTATCTAATATGGAGAGCAATAGAAAATATTTTTATTATGAATAATGGAATCAGTGAACAAGTTAGAGGAAATAATAATAACTTTTGTTTCCAAGATCTGGAAAAGAAATTCCCTGTTTCTTTGGGTGCTCTTTACGTGAAAAATTACTATAATGAAACATCTAATAACAAACACATTGACGAAATGTTTACAAATATTTTTCATCAGCTTCAAACAGCCATTGAAAATGTAATAATACATTAAATTTAAAACTAGCAATTTAACAAAATTGTCTCAAGATGTCCTTATTTTAATGTCTTGGCCATTATAGATATTGAGACAGTTTTGTTATTGTTGCTCAAAAGTTTATTTACAATATTGGGTTTAAAAAGTTAATTCATTTACTTATATTCAGGTGGATTGGCTAGATAACAAGACAAAGGATTATGCATTAGAAAAACTAGCTTCAATGTACGAAACTCGTCAAGAAATGTTCAAAATTCCTAACGACAAGGAGTTTGATGAATATTACGCAAACTTAGAAATTACATCAGGAGATTTTTTTGAATCCAACAGGAAAGTCACCAAATTTAAAAGAAATTATCAAGCTGGATTATTCAGACTGCCTTTTAATAGGTCAAACTTTATGATAGAAATGAACTCAGCAGAAATGACTGCATTTTATTATCCGATATTCAATACTATAGGTTCGTAGATACTTTCAATTTGATAATCAGCTTTTTAGTTTTAATATTTGGCAAACAAGTCTTTAACTACAAACTTAATTCTTTATTAGGTATATCACCGGCCATGCTTCAAGGAAATTTATTTAATGCAAACAGACCAATGTATATGAATTACGGGTCAGCTGCATTTACTTTAGCCCATGAATATACTCATGGTCTTGTTGGTCATGGTAGACGATTTGATAAAAATGGATATTTCGTTGACTGGTGGCAACCTACATCTATTGAGCAATTTTTTCCAAAGGAACAGTGTTTTATTTCTCAATATGGGAACTACACAGATGAAGAAGTTCAGATGAGAGTTAGTTGAAATAAATGGTTGAGATTTCAGTCTCAAGTTCAGCAAAGAATATATAAATTTTAACTAAATACTTAAATTTCACAGGTGAACGGTACTCAAACTCTAAATGAAAATATAGCAGATGATGGATTAAAAATTGCATATTTAGCTTATCAAAAGTGGGTAGAAGATCATGGACCAGAACTCTCGCTTCCTGGAATTAATTATACACAACCGCAACTTTTTTGGATTAGTTTTGCGCAATTTTGGTGTGAATATGTATCTCCGGAATATAAAAAGAAGCTGTTCTTAATGGATAAACATAGTCCAAACGAATTTCGAGTCTTAGGTTCTATTGCGAACCGACCAGAATTTGCAAGAGATTTTCAATGTCCCATAGGTTCAAAAATGAATCCAGAAACAAAATGTTCTTTTTGGTGATTGAGGCATTGAATTAAACTTTAATTTAGAATCAATGATCTCAAATTATAAAAAACTTATTAACATATCGCTTAGAATTCACTTCTCAGATCTTTTTAAAACACCAATTAACTATGTGATATGTATTTCACATAGTAAAAAATAATTTATAAAGCTTCAAAATATTTAATTTGATTTTTGTTCTTATTTGAGTAACAAATGTATGAAAATATTTTGTCATTTGAACCTTTTAAATTTATGACTCACAGCAATTAGAGCCGGTTAAAGACAAACAAAATTCAATAAAATTTGCTTGTGCTTTATGCATTGCTCAACATATATTTGTCTATTTGAACTGTTATTCTCACGAAATGTCACTTTTGCGAATCGTCATTTTTTCGAATTGACACTTTTGCGAAAAGTCATTTATGCGAACTGACATTTTTTCGAATTGTCATTTTTACGAAATGTCATTTTTGCGAATCAACATTTTTACGAATTGTCATTTTTGCGAATAGTCATTTTTGCGAAAATTCATTTTTTTCGAATAGTTATTTTTATGAAATGTCACTGTTGCGAATTGTAATTTTTGCGAAAATTTCTGTAGTAAATCTATATATACATACAAGTTTACTATAGCATTTGCGCAAAAATGACAATTCGCAACAGTGACATTTCGTAAAAATGACAATTCGAAAAAATGTCAGTTCGCATAACTGACAATTCGCAAAAATGACAATTCGAAAAAATGACTTTTCGCAAAAGTGACATTTCGTTAAAATAACAGTTCGAATAAATGCAATTAGGTCAAATGACATTTGGGGAATAATCATGCGCCTTCCCTAAAGTGCACCTATGGGTGTCCAGGTTTCAAGTGAAAATCATCCTTAGGAAATGTTGGAATCTAATAAATAATCATTGATCTAATAGACAAACCCTAAAGTGCATCCATGTGTCGAGGAGTCAAGTGAACTTCAACTTCAGGGAATTCTGTTTTTTTCGAGTAATCATGCTTCCAAAATAACACTAAAGAACACCCGGATGTCTAAGAGTCAGATGAACATCATCTTCAAGGAATTTAGGTTCCTATAAGTGCAATTCCACGCCACTTCGACAGTGTTTTGGAGTAAGCAAATGGATTTTAATGAAACTCAGGGATTGTAATCTATATATAAAAAGATAAATTTTCACCAAAAATGAAGTCAAAATATTCGGTACTTTTTGAGATAGTAAAATTTTGAAAAAATTTTGAAATCGTTATATCTCCCCTAAAACTTAATAAAAACTAAAAATTTTTTTTTAAATTCAGTATGAAAAAACGAAAAAAAATGTTAATAATGTTTATATAAAATTTTGTTAATTAAAAAAGTTATTTAAATAATTTTACTTAAGAATTTCAAATAATTATGATACACAGTGTACATCTAATATTATTATCCTAGTCAATTTGACTATTTTTCCTGATTACATCGACTAATTTTCCTGGTCACTTTAACTATGCTTGAATTTTATTACTTCGACTCAGATTCTAATAGTGGGTTCCTCTCGTAACTAGGAAACCTAGTCAATTCCTGGTATACGGGTCCTATAGGCATTTTTTTCGGTGTATGTTTTCAATATTGACTTCCAGTTTTTCAAACTCCATTTTTCTCCGTGTAAGTTTTTTAAAAGAAATTATTGTCAGAAATAGAAAAAATTGAAGTTTGTGTATTAAAATTCATGGTAATTTAATTGTTTACGAGACAATCCAAAAAGTCACCAAAATTCAAAATTTTCTTATTAATTCTAAAAACTTAATTTTTACCAGTACTTTTAATAAAAATCCCTGATTTTTCCCTGAATTCCCTGACCAATTCAATTATTATGTAAAATTTTAACTGAAATTCACTTTTAAATAAATTTCTAATTGAAAATTCTACGAGAATTCAAATATTTAAATACAAAAATAAATAATTTATTGAATAACTTTTCTTAAAATCGAATTCACATAAAGGAATTTTAACAACAAATTTTTAAATAATTGAATTCTTTCGACAAATATTAATCAAATTTTTAAGAATACTTACATTTTTTGAGGAATTCGATTAAAATTGTATTAAGAATAATTTTAAATATTCAACAAAATTATTTTTAAAGTAATTTTTTGTGGGGAATTCGATGGTCATAAAATAAAATCGTTCAGAAAATATTTTGACCCTTTTTGCATTTTTATTTTTCTTAAAAATTGGTGGATTTTGAAATCCATACAATTTAAGTATGGATTCAAAAAAAATTTTTAATTTTAAAAAATTAAATTTAAATTTAATTTGAAATTTTTTAGAAAATACCTTTTTTAATCCACAAAAATATTTCCAAATAAAAAAATTGATTTTCACAATTTTTATAGCATTATTTTGAAAAAAATATAGGTGTACCCTCCCCTTCAACGGTTGATGCGTATATATTTCATTAAAATTTTTTTTAAATAATGGAAATTTTGCGAAGAATTTTTTTTAAACCTTTGAAAATAATAGAAATTTTGAGATGAATTTTATTATTTATAAAGAGTATTGAATTTTTAACGAGGATTTTTTAAAATTTTTTAATATAATTGAATTTCTGATAAGAATTTTATTTTGAAAATAATTGATTTTTTGCAATTATGTCCAAAATTCAAATTCTTTTTGGTCTTTTTAACTAAAATTCCTCGATAAATTCATTATTTTTAATAAATAATTAAATATGTATATATTAAAAAATTTAACTAATTTCAAAATAATTTAAATAATGAAACTTTTACCAAAAATTCTTTAAAATTTCTAATTAAATTCACTCAAAATTAGAATTTTATAAAATTGTAAATGCATCTTTTTTAAAATTCAATTATTTTTTAAATTTTAAAGTAAAATTATTCATTAAATAATTTATAAGTTATAATTTTATGATAGTTCTTCATTAGTAGAATAAAGTTTTTTAAAAAGAAAATATTCTTTTTAAAAAACTTAACTCTAATGAAGAACTAGCATAAAATTATTACTTACATATAATAATTTATTATATTACAATTCGTGGTAATTTAATTGTTTATGAGACAAACCAAAAAGTCGACAAAATTCAGAATTTTCTTATAAATTCTAGTAATTTTATTTTTTCTAGTAGTTGTAATAAAAATGTCTGACTGTTCCCTGAATTACCTGACATTGGTAGCAACTCGGACATTATGGGCTGTAAATAAATTTTAACCACTATTGGTAATCAAAGTTGTTTCATTATAGTTACCAGTGGCGGCAAGTGCAACGTTTACCAACTTTCAGTATAAAAGAAAATTTTTAACGCATATCTACTTTATCAACAGCGAACAAAATTCACTAGAATTTAGCCACATGCGCACAAGTCGACGGTTCAATTCCGCTTTCCGTACTGCCGACAAGTGGCGCCTGGCCATCACCAGTCTGAAATCAGTGATGGCCGCAGCGGCTCTCGAGAGTTGTGATGTGTTCTCGTTCAACACGGTGCTCACCTTTTGAAATTCTTCTACCTTCACCAGGACCACTGTGAGAATCTCTAAAAATCAAAGAATCAGGTAGGCGAGTCATAACTCTCTACCAATTGAAAAAAAAATGAGTATGTCAAAAAAATCTCGCCGCTCATTTTTTTGTCCCCGTTTTTTCATTCACTCATTCTGTGTGAGAGAGAAAAAAAAAGTATACCTATTTTGACGTTCGTTGAACGTCATTTGCAAAGGAGCGTCGTCGTCGCCGCCGCATTTACTTTTGCAGAAGACATTTGTCAACTCTGAGCCCTTTGAAGCATAATAAATCACGACGAGTTGAAATTGCGTAATCGTGTCGCGTGCACACCTTGATCGTGTAAACGCAGTGGTTGTGTGTCTCAAATGGTTTTGTGGTGGCGGTGGTTGCCAGTGCAACTTGCACAAGAAAAGTTCTCTGCGGTGATCCAGTCGACGAGCCTTGGTCAGTGGGCACACACACGGGGCATTTTTATACCCGCGTTAATAACTCGCCGGAGGTATGTTGCATACCGGTAGGGCAGGTTAGACGCTCGTGTGGGTCGCAGTGTCACGAGCCGATTGTCGATATAGTGCTGCACAAACACATTCCCGCAGTAACCCGCCCTACTCTCTTTCTCTCTCTCTCTTACTCTCTCTACATTCACCACTCAACCTATACAAGTGAATTTCAATGCTAGTGTCAAAACAATATTTTTTTATAATAATTTTTTAAAAATATTTACTTGACTTCTAGTGTCATAACAATATTTTTTTATTATATTTTTTTTCTAAATAATTACCTTCATCTAATTGTATTCTTAAAACTAATGGCATTTCAAATAAGTAATATTATAAAATAATACACTTTCAGAAGACTCAACCTTTTTATCATTTTTGTGTGTTTTGAACACAAATTTTATTTTATTGAGTGAGAGAGTATAAAATATATAAGAGAGCCTTTTAAACATCGAAAGAAACATTTTGTTCTAAACATAAGACTGCATTTACAATAAATTGTAGTTTTAAAAATATCTTCAGTAATATGAGAACCAATACCGATAATAAATAAACAAACTAATGGGTTTTAATGGCACTAAATAACGTGTGTTTTAAAGTAACATCATAGTAAATTGTAGTTTTAAAATTATCTTCAGTAACATAATATTCTCCACTATCTTACTGATAGTGAAATTTTTATTTAAGTTAGTATTTTTAGTTTTGATTATAAATTGAAATAAAAACTATAATAATAATCAGGGCTGCAATGATTTAAATCAAAATGCATTAGGAACCAACAAGGCTGCAAAATTATTATTTCTGTTTAAAATTTTGAATTCAAAAAAGTAAAAAATTATACGTTACAGAGATAATATAATGAATATCAGAATATCATAATTATTAGTTTTTGTTTATTTGACTGAAGTTATTGAAAGATGAAAAATCAGTATTTTATAGCATAGTATTAAATATAAGTATTCTGTTAGTTTCCTAAAGTTTTTAAAACATATATTTTATTATAACAAGAATTTATATGAACGTAGTTTTTATTCAGGGTGGCCACAAGTTAGGGAAAAACTGGAAATCAGAGAATTTTTTTAGTCAGAGAAAAGTCAGGGAATTTTTAAAAATTCTTCAAAAGTCTGGGCATTTTAATCGAAAGTAATCACAAATTCATTTATTTATTTATTCAAAAAGCAAACTTTGATAAATATCAATTTAGTTTTTGTATTTAGACTCTTTTGTATAATATTTGATTAAAGGGCATTGGCCGTTTATATAATTAAATAAATAAACGAAACTTATTATAAGCACGATTTACAATGTAAATTTGCATTTACTTTTTTTATAATAAAAGTTTTAAACACATTAAAAATTTTTTTATCAAACAACTTAATTATTTTATGTTTTTCTTTATAAATAAAATTGTTACTTAAAAAGCATTATTAAAATTTTAATTATCAATGCAGAATATTAAATAATTCAAAATTTTTTTTTAATCAGGGAAAACGAAAAATTAGTCAGGAAAAGTCAGAGAATTCTGAAAATTAAATTTTGCAGCCATCCTATTATTATTAATTTTATAATTTTTAATATTAAAAAAACGAACTACTTAAAAATAAATATTTAAAAAATAGTATAAAAATTATTTAAATAACAAAAATCCTGATTTTCATCAGCCCTGATAATAATAATTAAAAATAAATAAATACAATGCGTATTTAAAAATACCACTAGTAAATTGTAGTTTGAAAAATATCTTCAGTAAAACATAATATAATATTTTTATTATCTTAATGGTACTGAAGTTTGTATTTAAATTATTTTTTTAGTTTTGATTAAATTTTGACTAAATTTAAGTAAAAACAATAATATTAATAATTAATAAATATTAAATTTGATTATAAATTTTATGGTAGTTTTCAAAAATTCAAAATGGCGGATCCAATATGGCGGACAAAAATTTTTTACTTTATTCAATTAACCTTAATTTTGTCACTCCGTAAATTGTAGTTTTAAAAATATCTTCAGTAACATAATATTTTTATAATCTTAATGATAGTAAAGTTTGTATTTAAATTAATTTTTAGTTATCATTAAATTTTGTCTAAATTTATATTTTTAAAAATTGTTGGTTTTTATTTGCCAAACTGACAAAAATGGTAAAAAAAAATTGTAGTGTTTATATTATGTTGAATAATATAATAATGAAAATTAATATTTTCTAAATTTAGAAAAACGAAATTTGTTACTAATATTTTCTGTAATATAATTATCAATTTCCTAATTATGTTTTAATTTCTGAAAATGTAGACATTGACCATAAGAAGTTCATAATTGACAAATAGTTTTCAATTATCGATTTAATGGAGAAAAGTTATAAAAACTTTCTCTTGTTAGGAACACATAATCCCCTATATAGAATTTGAACCATTTATCAATATTTTACCACAATTTGTCTGAAAACTTAATAGAAACAAACTTTATGTATAAGTTATGTTTATACAACGGAATGCGTTTTCTTACAATAAAACATTATTTTCAGTTTCTACATAAATTAACTCTTTCTCTAACTATTGGATTTTCAATAATGTTTCATGAAATTGATCCATCGTCGTTTTAAAAATACTTTTTTTTTAATTCTAGTTAAAGATTGTTATTAAATATTAATATTTTTTTTTTAATTAATAAATTTTTTTTCTTGCCTCCCCTCAGTGCGTCAAATGTGACAAAATTAACGCAATTAATGTATTTACAAATCTCGCACAACTTACGTAATGTATTTAGACGACACCTATTAATTTATAAACTGTTTGCATCGTTTGCATAACGTTTATTATTCAATATGGTGAATAATTGCGTATTGCGTAAAAAAAATACTCACGCAATATCGATTTTAATTTTTTTTAAATGAAGATCAATTTTTTTTTTATTTAAAAGAGTGTAAAAATAAAATTTCTTGCAAATGTTTGACAATTGCATAATTCCGATTTTTATTGAAAATTCGAAGATATAATAATTTTTTGCAAGCATTCGATGTACGCAATAGTAAGTGTAATTGGAGTCACCGCTCGTGTATATAGAAGAAATGCGAGAATATAAGGATAAAATTTCATAAATATTGAAACACTCCTTCAAATATATAGAAACAAGTTATTCATACGCGAATTTACATTATTTTGCATTTGACGAATATTTTGCAAAAAAAAAAAGATGAATTAAATGCAAAATAACTTTTTAATTTTTATCTCGACAAACGTACATTATCCATTATTAATTTTTTAAATGTAAATTAATCGGAAATGGTTTTTATCTCTTTTACATTTTTACTCTTGAGGCAAAAATAGCTTTTCTTGGCGGGAAATAATTCTTAAAATAATAAAAATATTTTCTTTACTCCTACTATAATTTTTCTAAACATTTCATAAAATTTTTACCCCATATAATTATTTGACCTACATAGGCCAAATTTGCGGGGAAAAAATTGTATTCTATAATCCTTCATTTTAAGATGGTTCAGACCTCCAACTTTATATATATATATATATTTAAATGTAACACTTTTTATTGTGCTCTTTGTGAATATTTTGCTTCCACGAAAGCCTCCGGCTGACTTTTTCTATGTGTCTTGATTACAACAAAGGAATATAAAAAAGACAAAGAGAAATAATTCACAATACACAACAAAAGATTTGTTGTGTCAAAAAATGTGTCATAGATGTAGCAATATCATTAGTCACGAAAAAGAAAAAAATTTGCTAATGTATTTTGAAATTTCTAATATTGTAAAAAAGAGACAAACCAGTAGGGAAGAATATATAGAAATTGTAAAAAATCTAAAGAGAAATATATCATTTCTAATTATAAAACCATCTAAAATTCATTTCATGGACGTTTCGTTGTCTGGAAAAGAAACGTGTACATATATGACTAATCATAAATAATTTACTATAATGGGAAACTATTTTAACTCATCATGGAATCCAGGAAGTTTTACTAACAAAGAAAAGATTCGATTTATGTATATATATTGTTGCGTTGTATTATTTATTATTAATATCAATATATTACATTATATAGGTACATTTATAGTATATTGTATATTAAAATACTTTATAATATATAAATTTTATATATACCTATATATATATTTAAATATTTTATATATTATTTTAAATACTGTTCGTTAATTGTAGACTTAGGTCCTTTGGACCTAAGGCCACAATTAACGAACAGTATATTTGACAAGAATGTAGGTCCTTAAAAAATACCGAAATATATTATTTTATAAATTTATATATTTTACATATTTTTATAATTTATATATTATAACTAATATATTATAAATTTGGCATACAATGTATATTATTTAACAGTGCAGAACACGCGATGAACTATAAATCTCGTTTTATATTATGTAATACAATTTATTGACCTGTGAAACTGAAACGGTCATAATAGAGAATAAATGACCGCGGTCTTATAAAGTTGAAAGACCTCATTCTTCACAGACGAATTCTAAACGGATTTTTTTTTTTTAATTAAAAAATCATTAAATTATAAAAGTTTTTAAT